ATAATCATCTCTACGATCACTTGATCTATAATCATCTCTACTATCAGTTGTTCTATAATCATCTCTTCGTTCAAAGCGGTCGTTTCTATAATCTCTTCTATCTACTCTTCGCTCATATCTACTTGTCCTATATCCTGACTTTCTATAATCGTCATCCCTTCTATCTAAGAGATGGTCTCCTCTACGGTCATCACTTCGATAGGCAAATTCTCTTCTTTCAAAAGGAGAATAACCTCTTTCTCTTCTCATAGGACTTTCATTTCTTCTTTTATCTTCACTACGTCTTCTTTCAATAGTACCTCCTAGTCTCTTTGGTTTAAATGATTCTTCTGTTCTTCCTTTTTCCATTTCAACAACAATTATCTTTTCTTCAATTCTCATTCCATTAGCTCTTCTACATGCTCTTTCTGCTTCACTTCGATGATTATATTCAACAAATGCATATCCTTTATTTATACCTTTTAAATCTTTTATTATCACAATTTTTTTTATTTCACCATATTCACCAAATAATCGTTGTAATATTGACTCATCTGTGTTCTTTGGTAAACGAAGAACAACGATAGTTCTATTTGGATTATCAGTTGCTTTTAAATTATGTGTAGGATCCCCTATATTAATAAGTATTTCAATTACACTTTAATTTGAACGACGAACAAACTAATTCCTTTCAAGAATGATATCAGGCTTTCAATCACTTCATAGAATGAAGATCGATTGTTGTTCTGAACCTTATAAAATAAATTAGTAAAACAAAAAACAAACACGTTTGAATTTGAGTACGAAGTGATTGTGCTTTTTCTTCTTTTGTTTTAAGGAATCTTAACTCACGTAATCCACTTTTAGTCCAAGTTGGTGCAAATGAGTCAATGTCTTCAGTCTTTTTTTCATTATTTGGTGTTAATTGATCAAACATTGTTAAATATGATGAAACTCCAGAATAATTTGGGAACCAATGTTTCTCTATAGGTGGTAGGAATCTTATAGGTTCATCAGGAACAAATAATGCAGCAAAATTCTTGGGTAATAAACAAACCATATCCTTTTGTTTTTTTTAAAGTTTTTATTTTTTTTCCTTAAACTATATTATTACTATTTAAAACCATTTTATTAATTAGTAGTTTTTTTTTAAGAATAACAAAAATTCAAATTAGAAGAAGTTTCGTTTTTGTTTATCAATGGAAGGTTGATATTCATCAAGTAATTGTTGTAAACGAGCTGCAATTGCTTCACTCTTTGTTTTTGATTCTTTTGAAAGACCTAACACAAAAACAGTTGATTTCAACGCACGAACATATTTATAATCAGATAACTTACAAGCAGTTAAAAACATTTTTCGTGCTTCTTTCACTGCATTTAATTGAAGTGCAATTTCACCAGCAAATTGCCACATATAAAAGTTAGATGGTTCCATCATTACAACTTCTTGCATAATATCAAATGCATCATTATATCTAACTTCTGTACAATACAATTCAGCTAATTGAACAAAGGCTTGTGTTTCCATATAAATTTCATTATACTTTTGTAATAAAGATATTGCCTCATCATTATTTCCTTGTTGAATTCTAAGAGCAATTAATCGTTGAATTGCCTCTTTATTAATTGGATCTTTCTTAAGTATTTCAGTGATAGCAATTTCAATATTTTCAATATTTCCACTTTTCTCTGCAATGATAACCTTATCCATTGTTTTACCCTTTTATTTGATTTTTTATTTTCTTTTTTAAAAGAATTAAAAACAAAATTTATCATCTTTTTTATAATAACAAAACTTCAAATAATATTTGTTTCATATTTAGCATTTATTTTGTTTTATACTTATAAAAATAAAGAAAAACATGTTTTTCTCAATTATTACCTACAAACTATATTAAACCAATAAAAAGGATTGAGTAATCCTAATATTTCAGTTGTTATATACATTTACCAATATGAATTGTTTGATTATGAATACATTTAGTTGGAAATTATTTTTATTGATACTATTTGTGTCGTATGAAAATAATCTTTTATTTCATAAATTCTTGTTTAAAATGTTTGTTATTATTAAGGAATAAGAATAAATGTGTTTTTAATCATTCAAATTTACTATTTATGTTTATTTATATTTCGTTTCATTGTGTAAGATATTATTAAGAACAAGAATAACTAAATTTTATGAATAAAGAGATTCTTTTGTATATATCCCAATCTCAATTTATATTTTGATGTTAGAATAAACAAAAGTTATAAAATAACCATTAACTAGAATAAGATATAATACTCTTTGTTTTTTTCTTAATTTTTCAACTATTTTAATATAAAAATCTATATTTAGTTTTACTATATTAGAGTTGTTTAATTTTAGTATATGGTATTGGACTTTTACTGTATTATAAAGTGATAGATGAAACTAAATCAAATAATTATTCTATTCACATTCTATACGTAGTTAAATTAATTGAATTATACTATGATCTTTTTGAATATAAATAATAAAGATGCATAAGAAAAGATAATTATTATTTATAATCTGTATAATAAAAATTTTATTCTAAGTTTGATTCTTTCTTCACAATCAGAATATAACTTCCTTTTGTGACTAGAAAAAAAAA